AGTAGTTGAAATAATTAAATGGGTGGTCTCTTGTACTCAATCGACAGAATGAAAAATAGCTAAGAGTTTGGTCGACTGGAACAGTGGAATTGGCCTAAAATAGGAATCAAAATGGGCAAAATTGCCGATGCATAAATATTGCTGAGACTGCTAACTTTACAAGAGTGTAATTCATTAAGCTTTCCATTAAATTTCATACTTTTGATTTCATTACCTTCAGAAAAAGATTCTCTATATTTTCATAAGAAAAAATGTTTTCTTGAAAATTACTGGACCCTGAGAGCAATTTTCAGATCAGGGTTCTGGACCCTGAAAGGGATAAACCCTTAAACGGTCCAACGTATATATTTATTTATTTATTTATTTTATGACTTTGCAAACAGTACATTGAGATTTTGTATTTACAATAGTGGGTTGCAATGCAAAGAGAGCATCTATTATGCCTAGGCATTATGGGCCAACTTAACATTATTGGCTTACAGTCTACTTAATACTAAGGAGTATATCATAGTTGTACAGTAGGATAGTAATTATTTCATAGTTGTACAGTAGAATATTAATTATAAATGAATCAAAATTTGTATAATACAAAGATATATTTATATTCGAAAATGCTTTTTTTGAAAACAATGATTCAATTATATTCCTGTCAACAATGGATAAAAGGTTCAAAGTGATTGTTTCACTTATGATGTGGGAGTACATAGGTGAGTATATGTGAACTGAGTATTTAGCATTTGGTCTAGGGTGATTAACCCTTTGACTGTTTCCGACGTATAAATACGTCTTAGGAGCCAATGTTTCTGACGTATTTATATGCATAAATTCTAGCAGCTTCAAATCAAGCAGGAGAAAGCTGGTAGGCCCACATGTGAGAGAATGGGTCTCCATGGTCAGTGTGCACCATATAAAAAAAATCGGGGAGCCAGTGGTGCATTGTGGGAATGCCATTTCAGTTGCCCTTTATCGCATGTCTAGCAGTAAAAATATGTGATTCCCCAGCAAATCTGGGACTCTTCTTTTTCCCAAGTGATGCTCTAACACAGATGGAAGTGTCAGTGAAGATAAATTTCATGATTTGGAGGAGTTTGAGACCAAAAGAAATGGAGGGAGGAGGAGGGGGGGGGGAGGAGGAAGAGGGAGGAGGGAGGAGGGGGGAAAAAGGAAGAGGAGGAGGAGGAGGAGGAGGGGGAGGAGGAGGAGGAGAGGAGGAGGAGGAGGGAGGAGGAGGAGGAGGGGAGGAGGAAGAAGATGTAATAAATATTTTTCCCTTGAAGCAAGAAAAAAAAAAGTCCACCCATGACAGTGACAAGATAAGGGGAGAAAACATCTGATAAGAGCTGACTTTGATGAGAGTAAGGAGGGTAATATACATGACCATTGCCCTCCCTTTGTTTTTGCTGGTACACAAACATTTCTGTCGGGTCTATTTGTCTGTCTGTCAAGCTCCCTGTCTGTCCATCTAGCTCTCTGTCTCAGAGAGAGCCACAGACGTGTCATAAAGTTTACTCACATCTTCAACCCAGAGTTATAGCATTTTTGTCTGGATTTTTTGGGGTTATCCTAGGTAATTTACACTATGTATACGTTGTATTTATGTGTACCTGTGAGACAGAGAAAGGCAGACAGATAGAAAGAAGAAAACAGATTGAAAGATATAGAATGGGGAGAAAGATAATTAGATAGAATGGGGGAGGGGAAGCAGCATCCGACCCCATTGTTTTGACAGGCGGTAGGGGGGAGTGACTAATGAGACAATATGTCACTTTGACAGCTGCCGACTTTGACTCAAAAAAAAATTATAAGCCACACACTCGCACACAAGACGAGGGGGAGGAAGGAGGAAGGGAGGGGGGAGGAGGGAGGAGGGAGGAGGAGGAGGGAGGAGGGGGAGGGGGGGGAGGGGGGGAGGGGGGGGGAGGGGGGAGGAGGAGGAGGAGGAGGAGGGGAGGAGGGGAGGAGGAGGAGGAGGGGGGGGAGGGGGAGGGGAGGAGGAGGAGAGAGGAGGAGGAGGAGGAGGAGGAGGAGGAGAGGGGGGGAGGAGGAGGAGGAGGGGGAGGAGGAGGAGGTGAGGAGGAGGAGGGGAGGAGGAGGAGGAGGGGAGGAGGAGGAGGAGGAGGAGGTGGAGGAGGAGGAGGAGGGGGGAGGAAAGGAGGAGGAGGAGGAGAGGAGGAGGAGGGAGGAGGGAGGAAGGAGGAGGAGGAGGAGGAGGGGGAGGAGGAGGAGGAGGAGGAGGAGGAGGAGAAGAAAGAAGAAGAAAAGAAGAAAAGAAGAGAAGAAGAAGAAGAGAGAAGAAAAAGAAGAAGAAAGAAGAAGAAGAAAAGAAGAAGAAGAAGAAGAGAAAGAAGAAAGAAGAAGAAGAAGAAAAAGGGAAGAAGAAGAAGAAGAAGAAGAAGAAGAAGAAGAAGAAGAAGAAGAAGAAGATGTTTTTTGTTTGTTTTTTTTTAAACAAGTTTTGTAAACAATATATTGATAATTATGTTTGTGTGTTATTGTGTTGTATACAACGAGTGTAATATATATACATTGCCCTTACTTTGGTCTCATAGGCCACATAAGTTATGTGAAAAAATTAAAATAGTGAAAAAAACAACAAACCTTCAATTACAAGTAAACTAAAGTTTCCCGGATGTGAGCGGCAGTCGCCGCTGTTGCCATATGCGGCTCATTTTCTGCAAACTTCACGGCTCTATATCTCGGTAAGTAACCGATGGCAAAAAATTTTTTTTTGGACCCTAAAAACACTCAGAAAAATAATTTAACAATTTTCATATGAAAAAATAATTTTTTTTTTTTGAATATTTGGCGCATAGAATGACAGTTTCAGAGAGGGGCCTGAAAACAGTCAAAGGGTTAAGTGGCTTTTGAGAAAGAGTCTTTAAAATTGATTTTCAGACTGGGTTACTTTAATGTATAGAGTTTTTATACAGTGTGATATGGACACGAGGTACGTATATAAAAAAAGAGTCTGTGTCTTGTTTTTGTGGTCATGTGTCCTGTTTAGGTTGGTAAGGAGAAGTCTGAGTGGGGGGTTTATATTTGGGGTGTATTGTTCTGTGTATGTAGTAGGAAACATGAATAAGTATGGATGTTCTTAATGGAAAAGCAGATTCAGACTTTTAAAAAATTGGTGGAGTATGCTGGGGGGGTGTGGGAATTTATTATCATTCTTACTGCTGCCTTTTGCTGGGTTATTGGGGTTTTAGGTGATTGGATGTTGTTGATCCCCATGCACAAATTCCATATGTAAGATAAGGGTATATGAGTGAATGGTACAGTGCCAGGAGAGCTGATTGTGGAAAGTAGTACCTTATCTTTGATATATGTTCACTTGCACAGCGCCCCAAATATTTTGAAAAAAAAAAAAAATTTTTTTTACAGGAAAAAAAGAACACATTTTTTGAAATGTTTTAGAATAAAAAAAAATTACGATCAGTACTTACAGAGTATGAGGCCGAGAAGTTGGCACTGGATGCTCATGTGACAGCAACATCGAGTCCTGCCGCTTGCAGAAGTGTTGCCAATATCCTTTTTTTCCATTTTTCAATTTATTTATGTAATTTTTATGTTCTAATAATTACAATTGTAGTAGTTTTGTCATTTTATAACCAATCTTTGTTCTGACACTAGTATTAGGTACTGAAATTTTTACTCAAATTGTCACAAACACATTGACAGGTGGACATTTACATTGCCCCTTTGGGCATTTTATATTGTTCTTGGAATATTACAAAGTATTTATAGGTCCCAGCAATGTTGAGGAGGAGATGAAGAAGGAAGAAGGAGGAGGAAGAGGAAGAGGAAGAGGAAGAGGAGAGGAAGAAAAGAGGGAAGAGGAAGGAAGGAAGAGGAAGAGGAAGAGGGGGAAGAGGAAGAGGAAGAAAGGAAGAGGAAGAGGAAGAGGAGGAGGAGGGGAGGAGGAGGAGGAGGAGGAGGGGGAGGAGGAGGAGGAGGAGGAGGAGGAGGAGGAGGAGGAGGAGGAGGAGGAGGAGGAGGAGGAGGAGGTAGGAGGAGGAGGAGGAGGAGGAGGAGGAGGAGGAGGAGGGGGAGGGGGGAGGAGGAGGAGGAGGGAGGAGGAGGGGAGGGAGGAGGGAGGAGGAGGAGGAGGAGGAGGAGGAGGAGGGGGGAGGAGGAGGAGGACGGCGGCGACACATAATAGGTAATAATAACTTTCCTTGAAGCATGAAAAACAAAGTCCACCCTGACAGTGACATGATAAGATGAGATAACATCTGATAAGGCTGATGTTTGATGAGCATACATGAGGGTGAGGGAGGGTGCAGCAGAGTATAGCACTTTGTTTGGGTTTCTTGGGTTATCCCACATAATTTACACTATGTATACTTGCATTTATGTGTACCTGTGAGAAAGAGATAGACAGACAGAGACAGATTTAAAGAGATACTGAGACAGATAGACAGAGACAGATAGACAGAAACAGACACAGAGACCAGATAGAGGCAGAGTAGACAGAGAAAAGACAGAGATAGATAGAGGAAGACAGAGATAGATATAGCAGAGATACAGAGATAGACAGACAGAGATAGATAGACCCTAAACTTGGGGTTTAACATCACTTTCCTCTTAAAAGAGGAGTGTTAATATGACATTCCATCAGTGAATCCTTGGTGTTTGCCACACTGTTTGCTCTAGCTGGCGCTCAATTTAACTGGCGCTCCCACAAGGTACTAAGTGGTCCCAGATTTTTTTAATACCATGCACACTGAGTGTTAGGACCCATTCTATGCTGACAAGGCATCTCAGGCCAATCGTGCCAAATTTTAAGGCAGGAAAAAATAACGTATATATACGTTTGGGGCGCTACGCATAACGAATATATACGTTTGGACTGTTTAAGGGTTTAAATAGGTATCAATTATACCAAAAATTTTATTTATACCACGGCTCTTGAAAAGCAAAATGTAGCCTAAATAAAATACTGAGGATATTGTTGCATGTGTGCCCACTTAGCACAAGACGTAACATTGGTAAGTACTGACCCAGCAGCTGCTATCTTCTCTTGAGCAGTCTTCATTACTTCTGCTCTCGTGTTGGACAACTCGGCAACAGCAGCAAAAAGGTCCTTCTTATCGTGTCCTGCATCAATGGCTTGGTATGCCTTCTCAGCATGTTGTCTGATTACTACGGCAGCTTCCTCGGCAGCAGAAAGTGCAGAGGTGATGGTTTTCCGGGCTAATGATGCCAGGGTCTCCAAGGACTGACACAGTGCAGCATTTTCAGCATCTTCAGCTAGTTCTCCCGAAGTCATCCTCTCCTCAAGATCTGAAACTACAATACATATTTACAACAAATTCAAGTCAAAAATGATTTTATTACTAAACAATGATGAAAATAATAATACTGAAAGGTGCCGAAATGCGAGAGAAAGGGGGGGGCAAATAATGTCTTCTGTTTTCGTTTGTATTAAAGTTTCAAAGCAAGAAATTTTGGAACTGGGTTTGCTAAATGTCCCTGGGTGTGCACTGATAAAAAAAGAACTAATTATTAGTGTTACGAATGAAAAGTGCTGAATGTCATAGCACTAAGTAAACCCAAAAAATTAAAAAACAAGTGGGAGAGTTTCAAAAAAAATGTTTACAAGATGACGTGGGTGTATTGGGGAAATCGAGCTAAGGGAAAGAGTAGTTGAAATTTAAGTGATCAATTATAGAAAAAAAAAAAGAGCACTATAAAATGTATAATCGAATCATGTGTAAAATAAAGAGGGATGTGAAAAGTGTGTTACAGTGTAGAGTTACCTTTGAGGAAGAGATATAAAGAAGAGAGTTTTTGGAAAATGGTACAGTGGCCCCCCGGTTTTATCCCTTTAAACCATTCCAGAAGTTCAGTTGAAATCCAAAAGGGCGAAAACCGAAGTAACATTTCCCAATAAAATACAGGGGGCCTCGGCTAACGATGACATTGGCTAGTGAAAATGAACAGCGATGTTTTTTGCGTAAAAATTTGGCTCGGCCCATGATGAAAAAAACCTGGTTAAGGACATTGTCCCCCAAAAATATCCCCCTGTCTGACCTGAGTGCACCTCAGCTGCCCTGCCTTCAGCTAGGTGCCATTTTTTTATAAGACAGTCCAGTTCCTTCCACGTGTACCTGCAATACACGTACATTTTGTATTATTCCTTTTTGTTTTTAGTACTTGTAACTACCAAATAAGTCACCATGGGCCCCAAAGAAAGCTTCTAGTGCCAACGCTGTGTTTAAAAAGGGTAAAGTGTACAATCAAATTGAAGAAAGAGATAATTGCAAAGTATGAAATGGATGCGTGCTCCGAGCTGGCCCTGGTTGTACAACAAACCCAATAAAACCTCGCTACTATCTTGGCCAACAGAAAGGCAATCAAGGAAGTTGTTGTTGCAAAAGGTGCAAGTATGCTTACAAAACAGAGATCGCAAATAATGGGAGTAGTAATGTCTGAGGATCTCACTTTCAAGGATCACAACAGTGCCACGATCGCACGTGCAAAAAAAATGATAGGATGGATAATGAGAACTTTCAAAACGAGAGATGCCAAGCCCATGATGATCCTTTTCAAATCACTTGTTCTCTCTAGGCTGGGAATACTGCTGTACATTAACATCTCCATACAAAGCAGGTAAAATCGCAGATCTAGAGAGTGTACAGAGATCCTTTACTGCACGTATAAGTTCTGTCAAGCACCTTAACTACTGGGAACGCTTGGAAGCACTTGCTTGTACTCGTTGGAACGCAGGAGGGAGAGATATATCATAATCTACACTTGGAAAATCTTGGAAGGAATGGTCCCAAATCTGCACACAGAAATCACTCCCAAGAAAGTAAAAGACTGGGCAGGTTTGATGCAAATGCCGCCAATAAAAAGTAAGGGCGCCATTTTGGTACACTAAAAGAAAACACCATAAGTGTCCGGGGCCCAAAAAAAATGTTCAACAGCCTCCCATCAAACATTAGGGGAATTGCCAATAAACCCCTGGCTGCCTTCAAGAGAGAGCTGGACAGATACCTAAAGTCAGTGCCGGATCAGCCGGGCTGTGGCTCGTACGTCGGACTGCGTGCAGCCAGCAGTAACAGCCTAGTTGATCAGGCCCTGATCCATCGGGAGGCCTGGTCATGGACCGGGCCGCGGGGGCGTTGATCCCCGGAATAACCTCCAGGTAAGATGTGGAGAGAGTGTTATTGATGTGGATAAACGACAAACAATTATCAGGAGATAGTGTTTCACAGTCAATCATATGTGAAAAGGCAAGGCAGTTGCATGAAGATTTAATTAAAAAACTGCTTGGAACTAGTGATGTTAGTGAATTTAAGGCCAGTAAAGGTTGGTTTGAGAGATTTAAGAATCGTAGTGGCATACAGTGTGATAAGGCATGGTGAGGCTGCCAGTTGTGACCAAAAAGTGGCTGAAAAATATGTGCAGGAATTCAAAGAGTACATAGACACTGAAAAATTAAAACCCCAACAAGTGTGTAATTGTGATGAAACAGGCCTGTTTTGGAAGAAAATGCCAAACAGACCTACATTATGCAGGAGGAAAAAGCACTGCCAGGACACAAGCCTATGAAAGACAGGCTAACACTAATGTTTTGAAGTAATGCTAGTGGGGATTGCAAAGTGAAGCCTCTACTCGGGTATCACTCTGAAACTCCCAGAGTGTTCAAGAAAAACAGTGTCGTCAAGGCTAATTTGTGGTTTTGATGTGGAGGGCAAACAGTAAGGACATTTTCCATTTATTGGTTCTATACATGTTTGCCCCACTGTGAAAAATTACTTTTCCCCCAAAATAAAATGGACCCCAATTCCCTCCTGGTATTAAACAATGCTCCTGCTCACCTCCGGGACTTGCAGAGCGAATTGGGGGGGGATTGAGCTTCATCAAAAGTGAAGTTTTTGCCTCCAAAACCCACTCCTTTCCCCCAGCCCATGACCAGCAGGTCATTTAAAATTTAAAAAAACTTTTCAACAAAGCGTTTTTCAAAAGTGTTTTAAAAAGGGGACCTAAGACACTGAATTGCCCCTAGAGAGTTTTGGAAAGTCCTTCGTATCCTATTGAAAAAAAACCTTATGGAAAGCTTGGGGGGGTGATAACAAAACCTTTGAACTTTTTGCTTGGGAAATTTTGGGCAGATGTGTACAAGAGGGTTTAAAGGGGTTTTTGGGGGCAAACCCCTGGGGACCCCTATACCATTGAGGAATCTAATGTGTCATTGGGGACGCCAGGGGGTTGAATTTTAGTGGAAGGTTTGGGAAGAGTTGGTGGGGCAGATGAAGAACTAACACTGTGAGTGCAAAGCATCTGCAACAGCAAGGACCAAAACTGAGGAAATTGCTTCAGAGGGGGGGGAGAGAAGAGGGAGGAAGTTGCCTTCTTCAAAAAATTAAGGAATTTGTAAATGTGGAAAAAGGGTGCAACCTTTATGGAAGAACATCCCCCTGACAAGCATTGCAAGCCTTGCTGGTGACTTTTAAATGACAATGTTGTGGCCCATTTTAGGAAATGTTAAGGAACCAGACACAAAGCCTTGGGAGATTTTTGGTGCGACAGAGGTCAAGTGTTTGTCAAATTTTTCCCCGTGGCATTAAAAAAAAAGGGGAAAGTAACCCCGGAAAGGACTGGGTACCAAAAGTTTTTTGGGGAGGGATTCCCTTCCAAACAATAATACACCCCCATCCCCCCCTCCCCCCAACTACACTATCACTACATCTTCAAAAAAGGTGTCTTTATTTTTCTGTAGTATTTTTGTGCTGTTATTTTTTCTTTGTATCACTGTTTTCTGTGTGGAAAATTTGTTATTTCAGGGTGAAAAATTTTTTTTTTTAATACTTTTGGGTGTCGGAACGGTTTCAAGGTTTTCCATTATTTTTAAGGGGAAAATTAAATTGGCTAAGATAAAATCGGTTAAGGGGCAAGCTGTCTGGAATAATTAAAAAACATTTAAACCCAGGGTCCATTAATGTAAATCCAATTAACTGTTCCAGACACCCCAAAAAATTAAAAAAAAAAAAAATTTTTGGAGAAAAATAGTGTTGCACTCTTCAGGGGGTTGTCTTCCCCGGGTCGTCCACCCAAATCTTCCACATCTGGCCACTACATCAACACCCTGGCTTTTAAAATGTACCCTAGATTCCCCAACAGGAGGTTGTCAAGTTTACACAACTTTTATTAAGATGTAAAGAACTAGGCATTAAAAAACACAATAAAAAGTAAATACATAACAGTACATTCATTACTTCCCCTTTAAAAAAAAGTAGGGAGAGAGGTAAGTAGTATTTATTTGTGGAAGTAGTATAGGGAGCCCTAGGTGTAGGGAGCGTAGGGTTGCCCGGCTACAAGGAAAAACAAAAAAATTCTAGAAAAAACCGGCAAAGTACCCAAAATGGAGGAGGGAAGAGAGGGGGGAATGTGTTTCTGCAGTGATTCTGATTCACAAAAATTTTACGATACTAAAGCAGCAGGTTTGATAGAGGCTTTTATGCCCCCGCGATAAAGTGTGGAATTAAAAGAAGTAGCAAGTAAGTTAAGTGAGTAGCGATAGAAAAAGACACGAAAAATAACCTCCAAAGTTGTTAGAGTGTTAGGGCCGCTGAACATACGCCACCCTGTATCTTCCAACCTAAAAACCCCTGCCAGAACTCCCCATCAACTAATAACATCTCCCCAAAGGAAGTGTAAAAAAAAATGTGTAATATAAAAGTCCAGTGGAAAAACCCCTACTTGCAAGTTTAATTATTCCATGACCTTGCTCGCACTGAATTTGCTTGTTTGCAGAGTCAATTTTCCCCATTTTAACCCTTTCAGGGTCAACAGGCCCTTCCCAAAATTTTTCTCAGGGTCAAAAAATTTTTGGGGAAAAAAAAAAAAAAAAAAAAAAAAAAATTTTTGAAATATGAGAATTTTTGTGAGTATTTTAAAGCCAAAAAATTTTTTTTTGATCAATACTTACCAAGATAGGAGGCTTGAACTTTACAGAAAGTGAGCCGCTTTGGCAACATTGCCGATCGGTCGTGCGGAAAAAGTTTTTTTTTTTTTTATGTTTTTTTTTCATTTTTTAACATTTTATTTTTTCAAGAAAACTTTTAGGGCCCCTGTGAGAACCAACCCAAAAAATCAAAATGGAAAATTCCCTTTTGTAAACCCTAAAACAAAAATAATAAACGAAAAAAAATTTTTAGTTTGCCCGGGAATTTCCTGCATTTTTTTTTTCTGGACCCTATTTTAAAATTGGGAAATTTATTTTGAATTTTGCTTTAAATTTGGGCCCAAATTACCAAATTTTCCCCCGGTCACTTTA